CTTCGCATTAAACTCGGCAACTCATAGCGCCACCGAATATAATTCTGCGATGCTCATCTTTGGGCATCAGCCGGTACCTCCTTTGACGTTCCGAAGATCCCAGGATCAGAAGGCCCTTGAGGGTTCGGAGGACCAAGTTGTAGTAGATTGGGCTGAACATATGGAGAAGCTCCCTAATCTATGGAAGCGTGCCAACTCCAAGTAAAAGGAGGAAGCGCCACGTCAGGCGGATTATTACGACCGGAAAAGATGGCAACCCGAGTTTAAAGTCGAAGATTGGGTATGAAAGAGAAACATGATACTCTCCTCTGCTACCCAAGACATATCAGCCAAATTGGCGCCGAAATACGCCGGTCCATATGTGATTGTGGAGATATGTGGTTCCAACATATACAGCCTGAGTAATCAGTTAGACATCCTGCTCAAGCTCTTCCATGCAAAGGACTTTGAACCTTACTATGGTCGGGCGAAAAGCGATCAACAGCGAACCTCGTGAGCCGCGGGAAGAAAGACCGGAGGAAGCAAGCGATTCTACAAGAGCATGACAACATCCAGGCGAGGATTTATCGAGCGAACGGATCGAAATAGCAGCCCCCATAGCTGTAAGTAACAATCCCACCGAGGCGTCGGATTTAAAGGTCGAGGTCGACTCCGGAAGGTCCCAGACACGATCACTGGTCAGACAGGAAACAACAACTCTTCCATAAAGGAATCTGGAGGGAGAGGTAGATCTTGAAAGACCGGGTCCGTCGTACAACGGACGGTTGGGCCGATTATCCCGAACAAGCGACGGAAAGGGACGGACCGACGAGAAACAGGGCGTTCACGCAAGGATAAGCGAGAGAACGCATAACCCGGTAGGATGTGGTGTATCGTAGATTTTTCTTCATGCAGGGAGTTTCATCCCATTATTTCTTTTGACTGTTGCAGATGGACTGGAGAATCGTCGAAAATGAGGAGACCTTCGAGATGGTCACCCAGATGCTTTTAGATCTGCAGCTGGGCACTGACACAACGAAGCTGGTAGAAGATCTGCGCAGCTTCGTCAGGGTCCAGTTGGAGGAGGCCACTCGAAGAGAGCGCCACCAAAGATCAGTGGCGGACGTTCTTCGGGACGCGACATGGGTCGCCCCGAAGAAGGCTTTCCGGGATGCTTCGTCCAATACGGAGGCCAAGGATTATTTCGAGCGTTCCATGTTCACTATGGACCAGGTAAAGCAGACCCTTAAATTCGGCGTACCCCAGACGTCGGACAGTATGAACCAGTGCCCAGACTCAGCAAGACGTATGGGGCTTAGCACTGGGTCTGCAACCACCCCCGTATCTTCGAGCAGCAGACTCCCCTCCTCAATTTCAGGCATATAAGCTTGGGTTTCAACGAGGTGGAGAGCGCCTGGCGGTTCGTCATAGAACTCCAGTCTCAGGTGAATGAGCATCTGAAGCGTTTTTAGAACCACCTGGGAGCAGAAGAGCTGCTCGGGACGTGGGCAGAGGTGGTCCAGCGCTAAAGGGCATAAAGAGAGGCCCTGCTACGCGTGGATAATGGACAGGAGTCCCGCGCAGCGCTCCCGGCGACGGCTCAAGTTAAGAGAGCCCCGAGAGTTACTGGTACTGGGCCGATGCTCATGGTCCACGTGGACGAGCGCGTGACTCCCGACACCACGATCGTGGTCAGGTTGCAAGAAGGACGTGCGACCGCCACGGTGGGAGGCGTGACGATCACCGCCTCCCAGAGAATCAGCGTCCAGCAGTTCCCTTGATCTGAAGAGCGAACCGAACAAGATCGGGAGGCTGGTCAGTCCCGATCGGAACTGAGGGGTTGCTACTTCTGCGGGGAGCTCTGGCTGACAAAATCCCAACGGTGCCCGAAGAAGGCTATACACTAGCTCTACCCGAAACATTAAGCGTCAGGTGTAGTCAAAAAATAATGTAGGCCCTGAAGAGCCATAAATAAAGCAGCTCTAGAAAGAGGAAGAGATTTTGGTCATTTAGTTCCTTTCTTCTCTTTTATTTCAGATCCTTGATGATGGCGAATCGCGGGTATTCATCCTGTCCGGATAGTCAGGACTTGGAGGGCACTGCAACGGTAGTCTATTCAATCAATCGGTATGTTCACGATTCGGTAGCACTCGCGATGCTAGAGCGAACGACTAAGAGAGGGAGGGGACGCGCGAGAGTTCAATTTTCAGTTAAGCCTCAGCTGTTGTTCGGAAAACCGCAAAAATTTTCTATTGTGTTTTTGCCGTTTGCCGATCCAAAAGTTTATTGATTTTTGTACGTGCGTGAGTGATAGCAAGGAGACAAAAAAAAGCAGCAGCAAATCACAACAGCAGCGAAACAGCAGCATTATGCAGAGCAGCAAGTTCTCCAAGAGTTCTAGTATTTTGTTGATTAACGGTTACGACTGATCACCGTAACCGGTAGGTGCACCAGATAAATTATCGTGCGACGTTAATAATTCCGCGCGTTTATTTGTGAGCGTACGTTACTCTTTTCGCTTTCGCGCCGAGTGTTAGATTTCGCAGCAGAATTTCGAATTCCCCCCCCCCCCTCTCTCTCCTCGTATAATTGTAAATCCTATACGCGTGGGCAAGTCTTTCGGCCCAACGAAGTTTTTATCATTTATAAACGTCTTGATTTTATTAGCCGCATTCCGCTATTTCGCTTCCTTTTAGTTTAACGGATTCGTCACCAGTTATTATTTTAAATCGATTTCATCTAGGGAATATTGAAAAGGAACATTAGTCTCCATACACCTAAAAGTAAGCTCTGTTGGAAAGGAGACACTGTAGCGAAAGTATCAAACGTAAAGGCGAATACACGTATACATATGTGATTAACGGAGCGGCGGTTAGCTCTACATCGTGGGAGATTGTTCTCAATTAAACCCAAGTTGCATCAGTTAATCTACCCCGTTCGATTTTCGTGGTGTGGTGCACTATGAATTCCTTCCACCCGGCCAAACTGTTAATAAGGAATATTATTTGAGCGTTATGCGTCGTTTGCGTGAAGCAATTCGTCTAAAAAGACCAGAATTATGGGCCAACAACTCTTGGTTTTTGCATCACGATAATGCACCATCTCACACTGCACTCGTTCTTCGTGACCATTTCGCCAAAAATTCGACGCATATCGTTCCGCAACCACCATATTCGCCTGATTTGGCTCCGTGTGACTTCTGGCTATTCCCAAAACTCAAGAGACCACTCCGGGGAACGCGTTTCGAGTCGATTGAGGAGATAAGAGCTGAATCGAAGAAGGCGCTGATGGCTATACCGGAAAGGGACTATTTGGCATGTTTCGAGGATTGGAAAAAACGTTGGCATAAGTGTATTTTATCGGGAGGGGATTACTTCGAAGGGGATGACATTGATGTAGAAGAATAAATAAAGATTTTTCATTTTACAAACAAATTCACCTTACTTTTTGCCCACAGTAGTATTACAAATTATTTGAAATCTATTTTTCACTAAATACAATCATGCAAAGAAATTTTTATTTTAATTATAACTATAAGGGCCAATTTTTAAATTTATTAGGTGATTGTTCTGCTATTTTTAGACTGCAATCAATTAATCTATAGAATTCATAGAGATGGACTTGAAAATTGTATTCTAAAATACAAAATTAATAAATTTAGGAATAGTATATTGATTGAGTTAAAATCGAGACCTATACGTAAAATACAACGTTTTGCTTTCACTATTTCTTAAAATTCCGCATACTTTCATTTACGTAAATTGTTCTATTGTGACGGGGGTAACAGTTTGCTTGCCCTACGTCTGCTGTTCCTCAATTTCCTCTACTCTCGGCAAGACACAATGGTCAGCGTTGGGTGCATAGAAAAAATACGCTTATCTACTGGCCTTTGTTTCAGCCACCGATGATCACTGGATGAAGTCGAGTAGGCCCGTAGAAGAGTATCTCGAAGACGTAGCGAAGTAGGAAGCGAATAAAAGAAAGTGAGAGAGACAGAACACGCGCCTATTATGTACGTATAGGCGGGCTTACGACACACAACTGATTAGCGTTGCGTCGCATGCTGCCTAAAATATGTAGGTCAATAGGGGATGAGAGAGAGAGAATGTTATAACCGCGAATAGGCCGCGGCCGGCAGTTATTAAGTAGTTCTTTCATGGACTACTTGACATGAGAAAGTAGCAGCATTGAGAGGTTCGATGCAATAGGGTCTACCAGCTTGTGTAGAGATAAGCCCTTCGCCGGAAACAATAGCTTGAAGAAGATACAGACGCCACGTATATTGACTCAGCAAAGACGCCCAGTCACCACAAGAACGATGACATCCCTTCGTGCTTCGGCCCAACAGCGAGATCTGTATCACCAGGCAAGCCAGGCCAGGGACACAAAGGTCAAGTTATCTCTCTCTCTTCCTTATTTTCTCTCTCTCTCTCTCACTCTCTCTCTCTCTCACTCTCTCTCTCTATCTCTCTCTCTCTCTCAAGGGTTTCACCAATTACGCTAAGTACGCTAATACTCGATAGCCAGACGTTTACTCACCGGCTACCGGGATTCTTTGCGCAGCGACTCTTCTAAAATGCGGATTGTCAAGGCGGATCCATGACTTGTTCGCTGTCGATAATAGCAATAAAGTCTATGTGTTCTAGGTATTATTTGTTAGCAATAAGTCATGCGAGTTACTGTGTTATAATTTTTTGTATTTATAGTAAGTCTTGCGAGTTAGTTTTGTTTGTGATTTATGTATTAATAAGTTTGCGTTAAATTTCGAAAGTTTGCGCGCGAAATCATTTATTGATCTATCCTTCTTCCTCTTTCCCCTTTTGATGATTAAGAGCGAAAGCGCCTGTCTTATCCCTTTTTTTAAAGAATGGTGGCAGAGCACATAGGTGATCCGACAACCTTGCTTCAATATATCAATAATCAATCAACATGTAACTTTCACATGCTAATTGTGACTGAATAAATTATTGAACGAATATTATAAATATCAAGTATCATATAAAGTTATAAATATGGCTTACATTCTTCATGTAATTAATAAGTGAATATCCATGATCCCAAGTATCCGATGACTCGCATGAAAGCTGTTTGATTTCTATTTGTTGTGAAGCATCCAAAACATGAAGAGCTCGAGCAAACAAATAAACGGCATCATACATCAGTGCAGTTTCAGTCTAAATTACAAGAATAACAATTGCAATTAACATATTTTCTCAAAAAAATAGAACATCTAATACGATTTCTTATAAAATATGTTAATATATAATTCATTGTGCTTTTCTAAAGTAATTATACTATAATTACACATACACACACATACACACATTCTCATATATATACACTATAATTTTCTTATTTCAAAATTTCGTCATCACGTCGTCGTGTGGTTCGGAGCCGCCCGACTCTTCTGTACACAAATATTATAAATTTCATCTGTCCACAAAAGTTGATGTAGTGTTTTGCTTAGTGTGTGAAAATTTCTATCATACTAGTGAATTAATGTCCAAATACAACGCAGGAAGTCCTATCAAATTCATTAATAATTCATTCGTGATCTGGCAAGACCATCCTAACCTAGCGCTTATCTCAAATCTACCATATGGTAATTTGAACAAAAAAGCAAAACAACTGATAGTTCAACTCAAACTTGTAAATAGAGAGCAGATAAAACAGAAAATATTAAATGAAATCATACACGAAAAACAAACAGAAAATGGTCAAATCATGGAAACGACAACATATGAAAATTTCGAAGAACTGCATGTTCTTAAAATTGAAAACAATTTATTAAAAGGACTATGTAATAAAACAAAAATCAATTGCTAAATGAATTATTATTGAAAATAGACTGAAAATCAAATAATATTAAAATTGGGAAAGAACAAATTTGAAAACCAATAGTTAATATTACGGAAATCTATAAAGCTTTCACAACAAATGAAAAAGATATTGGAACAGACATTAATCAAAGAAAATTTAGAAACTTTGAGGATAAATGAAATGTTTTACATATTTTATGAAGTGATACATTAAAGATAAGTAGAGTATTAATTGAGGTAACATTTAGTTTATACAAATATATTAAAAATAATAAAAATAGAATATTCATTGGATACCAAAACTGTAAAGTGTTTGACTTCCTTCACATGTATTCATGCCACAAGTGCTCGAAGTTCCGCCACAGTGGCAATAAATGCAAAAAAGAAGTCACCTGCATCAAATGCGCTGGGAATCATACAGTTGACAAATGCAATAGTAATACCACTAAATGGTCAAATTGCTCATACCACAATGAAAAATACAATACGAAATATAACGTTAATCACACAACAAACGAGTTTATTGTGTGAAGTACTCAAAAAATAAATAAAAAAATACGTCGAGTTAACTGATTACCTAATACAACCTAATTATCAGCGCTACTTTGGTAAAACAGTGCGTACTATCAGTTATTAGCAGGTAACAATAGTACAACGAATAACAGATCGACAATTAAAACTAACAAGTAGTCCCTCATTGTCGCTTTTATCCTGGCAAATTCCATCAAATAACACACCAGTCAATAGGAACAAAAATGGAAAGTGTTAATGTAAATATTAATAATGGAACAATTGTTGATGACACATGCACTTTAAGTAAATATTTAGAACAAGAAAAAGAAACTATGATATGCATAAATATTAGAAGTATTAATGTCAACTATAACAAACTGATAATTTTCATTAACAATCTAAATAATAAACCTGGTATTATCATATGCACAGAAACTTGGAATATTGATTATATTATCTTTCGATATGTAACATTGAAGGCTACAGTATGTACTACAATGACAGTAGAATAAATAAATCCGATGGAGTAGTCATATATATCAGAAATGATATAAACATAGAAGTAATACAATATAACAATCTTAAAATACTAACCGCTAAGATTACCGTGGATAATAATAATAAGCTACTACTCTCAGGCATATACAGGTCTTATGATATGCATAAGACTGTATTTTTAATGAACTTAAAGTCATTTCTAAAAAGTAATACAAGAAAGAAAAATGCAATTATTGCTGGCGATTTCAACTTTAATATCCTAATTGATGACATAATTGATCAAGAATTTCTACAAGTTTTCTTAGAAAATGAATATAGTCCAGAATTTAGCAGCTTTACTCGATCGTCCTACAACAACAAAGGTACTTGCATTGACAATATATACATAGAATCGGAAAACTCGAATGACAGAAGTTATCTACTTACTATTCCCCTTAATGATCATTATCCACTTTTAATGTATCTGGATTTCTTTATTAAAAATATTGACCCACCAAAACACAAGAACAATATTAATTTTCAAAAACTGATATCTATAGCCAAAACTATACATTTAAATGATAGTTCATCTATAACTGATCCGAACATAGTAACCAATAAATTAATAGATAACATACAACATTGTATTAAAAAAGCTTAAATAAACAGCACCTTCCCAAAAAAAAAACAAGCAGATGAAACCAAGAAAATCATGGATAACTAAAGCAATACTTCTTTCGTGTAAAACTAAAGAAAAACTATAAATTTTGACATAATGATTCTTTACTATGTATTATTTCACAGCATTTGTTCCTATAGGATTGAGCCTGCATGGGGGAGCCTATTCAAGATCAATTAAAGGATTATAGAATCTACAAACTAGATTACTGAGAATAGTTAACCACAACCATTTCATAACGGAAAAACAGCCATTAAATATTGACCAAACCTTCTCTTTAGTATCACTATTATTTCACTATGAAGCTTTGACTCATATGTATAGAGTAAAAGATAGAAAACTAGATGTAATAGTATACAATTACCCAAAAGAATCAAAATAATTAGTATAAAAAACAGCTTTAACAGAGTTATTACATTCTTCAACAATCTTCCAAATCATCTTAAAACAATGATCAACAAAAATAGTTAAAAAAAACATAAAAATAATGGATCGAAGAAATTCCTTGAACCTAGAGTCTTCGAAAACCACGCTGCATAAAATCAGTTGTACAGAAATCAATCAGTCATTGTTCAAAGATTTTTTGTATCTTACTTCGGATGTCCATGAGGATAAAAATCACGTTAACAAGATTTTACTGGACGTTAGAACATATTTATGCACCCATGGTTTTTACAACTTAAAAGATAGAGCTCATGATAGATTAACTTCGTACAACTCTACTAAAATACAACAAAAGAGTGACAAAGTACTAAAAATTATAACAGACATAGCTAATACATTTTTGGAATCTCTTACTAATATTACTGTGATGATTGATCTAAAATTAGACATAAAATCCCGCACTAAAGATATGAAATATATATAATTTATGAAAGCCACAATTTCAAAATCAGAAATTGAAGAATCCAATCATAAGGTAAAATATGAACCCATCGAAATTCTTTTTGACACTATTGATAACGTAGCTGTTGAAAACACTAACAAGATTTTAATGCACTACCAGCTCCTGGAAAACCATTACAGTCTACAAACTGTATCAGAATGGCTTACGGGTATATCAACTATCTAAGAAACAACAAAGCTCTTCTCTATTTCGATAAAGGAACTCAACAAACGCAAACTTTCAATATTTCAGTTTACTCACTAAAATTTCAATCAAAACACAAAGACTTAATAGATGTAGATGATGTGGTGTTCACATCCACATGCAATTGCACCAACATCAAAGTATGTTCACACACTATAGGGTAACATATGCGGTTGGACTTACTTGTCCGGTCCGTCTAAACAAGATGGGATATATTCAAAAAATAATAAAGCAAGCATGGATTACTACAATACCGCAAGACAGATGCTAATCAGATCCTGTTGAAAAAGATACTGATAGAATGGTAGAATATTTAAAAAAGAATGAAATCCCTTTCTATACCATCGATGATTGATTGGTCTATCTCTATCGATAACTGAAAATTCTTGATTATCGTCTCTCCAACATTTTGAACAAATTGTTTAGAACTTATCAAAAGTCATATCTGAGTTAACATGATCATTGTAAATATGTTTAATATTCACGTCATTTTGTCGAAACAAAACTAGTAAAATCGCATTATCACGAATAAGACGCTTCGATATGCAAGCGTATGATAGACACAAATAGAAACTATCAATCCTTATTTATATCTTCCCATACAGAATAATGCTCTCACGTTGTCTTGCTTTTCAAAGGCTATATCATCAAAAATCATGATGGAATTTGGATGAGCTTTATCAGATGAAACAACTTTCTCATGCTCGCTGAATGCATGATACTGTATACCATCAATCGGTTCCAATAAATCTTATAAAAATTTATACTTTTGTTGATGAAGGGACTTTGAATAAGCATAAACTAATTTCGAATCTAAGTTCATCAGGATGTGTGATTAGTGCTAGCAAACAGTTAGTTTTTCCACCGTTACTAGGACCACAGAAAACTGCTCGTATACTAACAGGTAATAGTTCGCCATGTCTTTTTTCTCGTTTTTCTATCTCCATCAAAATAACAAAATTTATAATTTGCAACTCAAGTGGTTGCTCATTGAAGTCCATATTGTTTACAAGTCACCAAACGAACAACAAATGAGTCTACTGATTATAAGTAAACTGCTTATATATTTTTAGTTTCATTAAGACTTTGTCTTCTAAACAGGTATAGTCATTCGTCGTGAAATAAAGACTGGTGGTGGTGACTTAGTGAATAAGATCATCAATAACTTACCATCCGAAGCTCATTTGCCTGGTTATCAGTGTTGAGGACCGCGAAATAAATGAAAAAAACGACTTGCTCGGGATGATCCTCGAAAAAATCCGCTAGACGCTGCTTTTAAAGATCACGATATTACTTATTCTTAGAATCGAGAGAACATTGACGGGAGAAACGAAGCCGCCAAAATTCTAGCTTGGGATAGAGTGCGAAGGAAAGATAGTAGTTTAGGGAAAAAGTTACGGCGTTTGCTGTAGCAACAGTAATGAAAATTTAAAGTAAACTTGTTATTGGTGTTAAAATTGTGAAACATGAAAAGAAACGAGGCAAGGGATTAAAAAATCGTCAACAACAACAACGACCACGACCAAAGACACCTGTAAAAAGTAAAAATCTATCAAATGCATCAAAAAAAATTATTAAGGCTGGAAGTAGAAGAAA